CCAGCCCCCGGTGCCGCCCGTAGGCCCAGTACAGGTACGGGAACAGCAGCACGCGGCAGCCCAGGAACGTCACCAGCAGCGCCAGCCCGTTGAGCTTGTGCAGGGCCGTGTGCTGGCGCCGCAGCTGCGGGCACAGCGCGGCTCGGTTACGGGGTCCCGATGTTGTTATGGGGTCTCTGGGGTGGGATGGACACAGGGAGACCCCCAAGGTTCTCGTGGGGTGAGGAGGAGGGGAGAAATCCCTGGTGGTCGCATCTCGGTAGGGTTTGGAGGATCCAATTGAGGGTGGGAGGGGGGTCCCGATGTTGTTATGGGGTCTCTGGGGCGGGATGGACACAGGGAGACCCCAGAAGCTGTTACGGAGTGAAGAGGAGAGGAGAAATCCCTGGTGGTCGCATCTCGGTGGGGTTATGGGGGACAATGGGGATTTTCGGGACACTCTGGAAGGGACCCGGGGTGGGATTTGAGGACCCCGATGGATCTCGGGTGTTTTTTGGGATTTCAGAGAATATTTTGGGGGATTTCGGGGAATATTTTGGGATATTTTGGGGGATTTTGGGGAATATTTTGGGATACTTTGGGGGATTTCGGGGAATATTTTGGGATACTTTGGGAGTTTCAGGGTTTGGGGGGATTTCTCGTGGATTTTTGGTGGGGTTTTTTCCATTTTTATGGGATTTTTTCTGTTTGTTTTTGTTTTATTTTGGGGCTCTTTTGGTGATTTTGGGTATTTGGGGACACCTGAGGACACCTGGGGACATCTCACCAGGATGAGGACCTTGCCCAGGCACACGAAGGGGGTGCTCAGCTCGGCCATCAGCAGACAGCCCAGGAAGAAGTCGCCCTTGCCCTGCCGCCACAGCTGGGGGACACCTGGCCGTCACCCAGGTGTCCCCAAAAACTCACCCAGGTGTGCCCAGGTGTCCCCAAAGCACCCCAGATGTCCCCAGGTGTGCCCAGGTGTCCCCAGGTGACTCACAGTGGCCAGAGGGAAGCAGGCCAGCACCATGGCAGCGTGGTGCAGCACCCTGCGCCCCTCTCCCCGTGTCCCCAGGTGTGCCCAGGTGTACCTCCAGGTGTGTCCCAGGTGTGCCCAGGTGTGTCCCCAGGTGTGTCCCCAGGTGTGTCCCATGTGACCCCAGGTGTATCCCAGGCGTCCCCAGGTGTGTCCCAGGTGTCCCCAGGTGTATCCCAGGTGTCCCCAGGTGTGTCCCATGTGATCTCAGGTGTCCCCAGGTGTGTCCCAGGTGTCCCCAGGTGTGCCCAGGTGCCCCAGGTGACTCACGGTGGCCACGGGGAAGCAGACCAGCACCATGGCGGCGTGGTGCAGCACCATCAGCAGCTCCTGGCGCAGGAAGGCGGCGGCGGCGGCGCGCGGGGCCAGGGGAGCGTCCCCGTGTCCCTTCACCTGGGCACGCTGCAGGTGGCACAGGTACATGGCGTACACGTCGTACACGAAGTACGGCACCGCGAAGGGCGGGTAAGCCGCGGCCAGCCAGTGCCTGTGGGACAGGTGAGCACAGGTGTGTCCCAGGTGTGCCCTGGTGTTTCCAGGTGTGCCCAGGTGTGCCCCGGGTGTGCCCAGGTGTGTCCCAGGTGTGCCCAGGTGTGTCCAGGTGTGTCCCAGGTGTGCCCCAGGTGTCCCCAGGTGTGCCCCAGGTGTGCCCAGTTGTGTCCCAGGTGTGTCCAGGTGCCCCCAGGTGTGCCCCAGGTGTGCCCCAGGTGTGCTCAGGTGTGTCCCAGGTGTGCCCAGGTGTGCAGAGGACCCAAATTCAGGGACTAAGGTGTCCCAGGTGATGTTGGGGACCAAATTTAAGGGTCCCAGGTGACACAGAAACCTTGGGGACACCAATTTGGTGTCCCCGGCTGTCCCGGGTGACCCCCAGGTGTCCCAGGTGACCTCGGAGACCTGACTTTGTGGCTCCCACTTCCTTGGGTGACCCCAGTGTGGTGTCCCACGTGACCTCCAGGTGTCCCCAGGGTGTCCCCACGGATGTGTGAATGTCCCCGCGGGTCCGGGGGTGTCCCCGGGTGTCACTCACTGGTCATCGATGACGTGGTGGCAGGAGCTGGAGATGATGTACCCGGCTGTGGAGGCCATCACTGCCTGCACCGATGACACCAGCCTGGGGACACGGGGGGACACGGGGGGACATCGGGGGACATCGGGGGACATCAGGGGACATCAGGGGGACATCAGGGGACATCAGGGGACACGGGGGGACATGGGGGGGACATCGGGGGACATCGGGGGACATCAGGGGACATCAGGGGACATGGGGGGACATCAGGGGGACATCAGGGGGACATCAG